TTTTTTAAATAAAACTAAAACAAACAAAAATAGAATTAACACCGAACCTCCTCAAACTCTCCCAAAACAATTAAGTGGAGGGAATACTCCCAAACCCATTCTCTGAGGCCAGCATTACCCTGATACCAAAGCCAGACAAAGGCACGACAAGAAAACCACAGGCCAATACCCCTGAAGAACGCTGATGCCCAAATCCTCAACGACATACTCGCCATCAAAGTCAGCAGCATCTTAAAAGGCTTAGCCCTAAACGGTTTGGCTCAGTGGACAGACCATCGGCCTGTGGATGGCTCCCGGGTTCGAGTCCGGGCAAGGGCACATACCTTGGTTGCAGGCTCCTCCCCTGCCCGGACCCTGGTCAGGGCTTGTGCAGGAGGCAACCCATCGAGGTGTTTCTCTCACATCGATGTGTCTCTGTCTTTCCCTCTCTCTCCCACTCTCCCTAAAATCCAATGGGAAAATATCCTGGAGTGCACTCGAAGGCCCCGGATCTGTCTCTGGCTTCAACAGTGTTTGGACAGAACAGACCCAGGGATGCCCCCACTTCCAGCCTCGACCACTCTCCTGCTTCTCATCCAGTCGCCGCCTTCAGAACCATCTCCGGGACCGGCCAACACACGGTTTGTTTGTTTTTCTACCTTAACTCCTTATTGCTGGACAACCACGGGCTCCCAGATTCATCAGAATTATTCCCCGAGGTGGAGGCACCGTCACCGGCCTGGCCAGCCTGCATCTGCGGGCCTCGCACACCTACCTCTCTCGGGGCTTCTATTTCGACCTTGAGGATGTGGCTCTGGGGTGAAGCGGGAGGGCGCTGAGCACCTCTTAAAGTTGCAAAACGAACGTGGCGGCCGCATCCTCTTCCAGGACATGCAGAAACCCTCCCAGGACATGCAGAAACCTTCCCAGGACATGCAGAAACCCTCCCAGGACATGCAGAAACCCTCCCAGGACATGCAGAAACCTTCCCAGGACATGCAGAAACCCTCCCAGGACATGCAGAAACCTTCCCAGGACATGCAGAAACCCTCCCAGGACATGCAGAAACCCTCCCAGGACATGCAGAAACCTTCCCAGGACATGCAGAAACCCTCCCAGGACATGCAGAAACCCTCCCAGGACATGCAGAAACCTTCCCAGGACATGCAGAAACCCTCCCAGGACATGCAGAAACCCTCCCAGGACATGCAGAAACCTTCCCAGGACATGCAGAAACCCTCCCAGGACATGCAGAAACCCTCCCAGGACATGCAGAAACCTTCCCAGGACATGCAGAAACCCTCCCAGGACATGCAGAAACCCTCCCAGGACATGCAGAAACCTTCCCAGGACATGCAGAAACCCTCCCAGGACATGCAGAAACCCTCCCAGGACGTGCAGAAACCTTCCCAGGATGACTGGGGCAAAACTCAGGTCGCCAGGGAAGCCGCCCTGGCCTTGGAGACGAACCTGAACCAGGCCCTTTGGGAGCTGCAGGCCCTGGTTCTACCCCTGCAGGCCCTCACCTCTGCGACTTCCTGGAGAACCACTTCCGGGATGAGGAGGTGAAACTGAGCAAGAAGATGGGCGACTGACCACCTGACTGACATCCCCGCAGGCTGGCCGCCCCCCAGGCGGGGCTGGGAGAGTATTTTTTCGAAAGGCTCCCCCTCGAGCACGACTAGGAGCCTTTGGAGCCCAGAGGCCTTTCGGAGTCCCCTCTGCAGCCCCTAGAGCAGGGGTGGGCAACCCCTGGCACGTGTGCCAAACATGGCACGCCAGTAACTTTTGCCGGCACACGACACCCTCTCTTACAATCTTCCATTTACAATTCTTTTTCTTAATATCGAGTTTTTTATTTTTCAGATAAATTCAGTGTAGGTGCATCTTAGATAAATAAATAATTTTACAGAACAAGTTATCTTAAAGACCCTAGACATGGCTGACTTTGAAATGCAGTTGATTGAATATCAGAGTAGCACAATTTGGAAGCAGAAATTTATTGACCTTAGAGTTGACTTGGGAAACATTGAAAAAAAAGCGATTAGAGACAGGAATACCAGAGAGAAGTGTTGAAAATGAACTATTGATGACTTGGAATGCCATTCCAGAAAATTTTTTCTGTTTAAAAAACTTTGCAACAGCGTTACTCTCCATGTTTTCATCCACATACGCTTGTGAATCTTTGTTCTCAGTGATGAATTTTGTTAAGTCTCGTAATAGGAGTAGCTTGATGGATGAACGT